GGAGACATCGCCCTAGTAGCGTATTTCGAAATTCTCAGAATGGAATGTATGAAAAACCGATTGTGAAGATTTGCAAGATAGATATTCGGAAAACCGAAGAATAAAAACATAATAAACAGTATAATATTCGATAATTATATACGGGGGAGAATGTACAGAAATTCGGAATAGTTTCTAGTTCCGAGCGGTTGTTGGAAGAATGTTAAGTTTTTGACTTATTGATATGCTTCCTATGAATATACACGAATTGAAAACTACTATATTAGCCTACTATTAGCCTTGTTCAATAAACCAGTTTTTGATTTATTCGAGTCAAAGGTCCTTCGAGTTATCAGACTGCACCTATTAGGAACTAATGAAAACAAAAACAAAATAAAATTCCCATCTTATGCTTCATAATTCATATAGCGCAGCATAACAGATGAAATAAACGGCAATCAGCTGGTTCCTTAGGCAGGGCCCTATAAGTATAGTATTACCCTAAAAACACACTTATGTCCCATGGATATCCTTGGGACGTCCTGTCGGGACATTCAGGACGTCCATTGGACGTTCGAATTTGGTACCGTGGACGTCCATTGGACGTCTATGGGACGCACAAATGTCCCACTTGAGGACCAACTAGGGACGCCCTTGAGGAATGTCCCTGGGACAACTATCGAATACCTAAATCCTACAGTATTCCTCATCAAGCATTACAGAGGACATACTTAGGACATCCATAGAACAACCTATCAGCAACGCTGAGGGATATCCATTGGATGTCCATAGGATGTCCCAGGGACGTACAAATTATTCTTGAATTTGAATTTTTCTGGGTCCCTCTAAAACCAGATCTTGCATAACTGATTAGAACATCCAGTGAGTTGATGGTCCGTAGAAGGTCCCCAAAAAGTGTCCCAAGGATGTCCAATGGACTTACGTGAAGGACATTGACGAGGAGTACTTATAGCCTACGAGCAATCATTCGTCGGCGAGGTGTAAGTTAACGTCCTTGCAGGGACAACATATTGAAAGTACCGACTGGGACGTTATTTCTAAGACATTGGAAGAGTACAGTTCATGCACCAATTGGGACATCCGACGGATATCCCTAAGGGACATTCGAAGGATGTCCCTAAGGAACATTTCGATCGTTATAAGATCCTGAAAATATTAAGGGCGTCTGTGCAGAGATATTTGAAGGAATGTACCATCAGGGACATTTCATGGTTGTCGATCTAGAAGGAACATTATATAGGATCTGAAGTCATGCCAGAATATATACTACCCGGGACATCCGATGGATGTCCCTAAAGGAACGTTCAAAATCATATCCCATCAGGGACATGCCAAGGACGTCCTTGCTTGGACATTCTACAATATGTATCACGTGGGTCGTCTAAGGAATGCTATTCCTAGGACATTTGAAATGATGTACCAGCTGGGACATTCCGTGGACGTCGTTGCTCGGATATTGCATGATATGTACGGGATGGGACGTCCCAAGGACACTTATTTTTGGTTCGGGACATTCGGACGTGAATTGTACCAAATAGGGACGTCCCTAGGACGTTGTGTGCTATAAGGGTAGCTCAGGGCCCCTGAAACTCATGGTCCGTTCGCCTCTGAGTATCCAGTGTCGTTAGTAGATTCCGAGTTTATATGCCAGCATTTGTCCAGCGAAACACTTGATCAGGTGTTCTTGATCAATCATCACTTCTACTGATTTCTAGTAGACTATACCTTCTCAACAGCATAGGCAAGAACATTTCCAAACTGAGGATGGTAATATTTATATTGGGATAAAATGATTCATCATGGATTCAATACATCAAAATTGCAAATACACAAATTCAAATTGAGACTAATCATTTTTGAAATAGGAATAACCAAATTCAAATTGTTGCCACATGATTCAGGATGGATTAACACACCCAAATTGAAAATGAATGAAATCAGATTGAAACCAATCAATTTTGAATTGGAAAGAAATAATATGGACATTCCAGATAGATAATCATACATACAGTTCAAGAATGAACTCATTCAAATCAAGATTGATTAATTTTAGATTGCGTAGCTATATTCTGTTGATGATTCCAAATGCGAAAATTGACAAAAGCAACATCGACGAATTTGGATTTTCATTTATTTTGGATAATACTACATATAGTAGTATCATCATTTTCATTGAACATCGCACCTCATACATTATCAATTGATCTGAATCGGTTTTCTTGATGTGAGGCATATCAAATCGAATATATGTACCAACCATAAATGATGGCCGAATCATCTTTTGGCTTTAAGACGATGAATTGTATCGACAAGCTCAATTTACGGTTTTCTAATTTGAAGTTGTTTCGATCCAAATTGAATTATTTAATTCTGAATTTGACTATGTTGATCAAATTAATTCGAAACTATTCATTCTGAATTTGGAAATGCTCATTTCTAACTTGATTCTGTTCAATCTCATCTCGAATTTCTCCACAAACTGGGATGTGCTTAGTCCCAATTCGAAATTGAAAGTCTCAATGCGAACAAATTCTGAAAGAACGCACCTCAAATATGTCTCTAGCCTTTCTTTCGGTACCACATTGTTTTATCAGTCATTTTATTCAAACATTACCAAAAATATACCCTATAGACAAAGAGGAAATTTATCAGTCTTCCAGAATTACGTATATCGGATTCTTTCTCGCAAAGAATGTGATGTCCTTTCAAAATTTGACATGCAGTTTTCGAAGCAATTCAACCTGGTAATTGAAAACACTCTTTTCAACGGCTATAACACAAAATTGCTCTTGTTATACGACGCTATACATAGTGGAGTATACTACGGCCGTGCCAAAAATGCTATCTCGGAAACTAAGCGAGATAGAGGTATAGTTGCTTTGGAGAAAATGATCCCCATCGAATTTTGAGCAACTTTGGTTTTTGTGTGTGGTCTGTCTGTCTGTCTGTCTGTACTCTGTGTTAATCATAAATCGATATATCTCCGGAACCCTTTGACATATCGACTTGAAATTTTGCCATCTTATTGTACTCAAAACAATATTATGTCATTAAAATATGAAGGAAATCGGAAAACTCTAAGGTGGTTTTTCCGGGTTTTTTCGATTTTTCACCGGAAGTTCCTTGTAACCACTCTACAAATCGCAAAAGTGGTCCGATCGATTTCATTTTTTGTGAAAAAAACCTCTATCAGGAAGAGACGAAGCCTATTGAAATTGAGCAGGGTCGGAAGATTCCAAGTGGGTTTTTCAAGGAGATTTTCCGAAAAACACGGTTCGCTTTAAAACGACATATCTCCTGAACCAATAGACTAAATCCAAATTTGAAAAATGCACCGTATGCCTCTTTGATGACGCAACAAATTATCATTCAATCATTTTTTCGCGCATCCATCGGAAACTGGAAAAACAAATGAAAACCCAAACATCAAAATTTGAAATCCTTTCAATTCAATATATATCGAAAACAAATTGAAAAATCGAAAATTATCAAGAGTGCAATGTTATCCACTGGAACATTCCCTACAAATCATTTTCCATAATTTTTTCTGTAAACCCAATAGTACAGGAAATGAAGTGAAAAATATGAAAAAAAAAATTTTAACGACCCATAGGGTACTATGAAGATATATTGAAAAACAAAGATTATCAATAGATGAAGCTCATCGACTTCCACTGAACCATGAAAAATTTTTTCATTATGTTGATTGGAAGATGGAACAAAAGTGTTGAAAATTTTATTCTCAGATAATTCCAAATATCTCGAAAACAACTGGAAATATCTGAAAATGTTATAGAACCAAAATTATTCCTTCTGATAAAATCTACAAAAAATCCGTATAACATTTTTTTCTGAATTCAATAGTTCGGGAGATACGATGAAAAAACTAAAAAATTTACAAGTTCCTAAATAATCACTTGCCAATAGAAAACAAAACAAAAAACAAAAGAAAGTGAGAAAAGCACACTCGAGTGTCTCGATTTTTTTCTCATAAACTACGTACCTAGCTCACTCGACTGTGTGGAAAAATCAAGACAGTCGAGTGGGCTAAGTACGTAGTTTGTGGAAAAAATCTCCAGTTCTCCGAACTTTCATAGCGTCGTATACACATCCTTGGTGCCCAATGATAGTTTCAATATAAAAATATACTCATGATATGGTGCCATGGCCTCTACTTCCATCTTACATGAGCAATGATAAAATATCATCTGCTTTTATAGCGTCGTATAAATTATCTGACCTCTCTTAGTCTGATACCTTTCAAAAACTACGTACCTCACTTGTTTTACTGTGTTCGATACATCAATAAGGTACTTTGTATGTCATCAATTTTATTTCCGTATCTGATATCACAATGACCCCATTGTGTCAATGTCAAATTTCAAGCAATGACAGCTCTGTCCAATAGATGAGCATTACTTGGGAGGAAATCAGATGGCTACAAGACGAAGAGATCAAAAAATTTCCCACTCGAATGACTGCAGCATTCGCCTACGGCTCATGCTGCAAACTTGATTCTCGTGGGAAATCACTATTATTCCGTGCTCGTTAAACAATATACTAATTCAGATTTTGTGTGTGGGATATAAGGTGTCTTAATTGTGACCTACTTATTTAAAAAACATCATAATCGTTGGTGACGAAATACAATACAAAATTACTGAGTCGTCAGACAACAATTGAAAACCCGATATTTCGATGAGAATACAATTTCGGAGAAAAACTTGTAAGGTATAAACTCCCTAATATTTGACTATAAGCCTTCCAGTTCATGTTCGTTGCAACTGAATCACCTTGTCAATACATACATAATTCAGACAAATGTTAATGTGGAACACAAAACTTCATTTAATTAATATTTTAATTGCAATCCTAAATGTGCCAAATTCAAAACAGACGTGGAGAATGCAATATATTCTCCTTTCTATATGTATATGATTATTTACAATAATACTTATTCTTACTTTTTGCCATTTATCATGTTTTGATCTTTGTTACAGGTATAGCAGCAAACCGACATACCTTGAGAAGTCGAAAATCGGCAATTGATGCCCTTTCACCATCGATAACCATGCAAGTTTGTGAAATCATGATGGATTAATTAGCGAAAATTGTCATGGTTGCCATAATATATCAATTATATTAAATCAGTGTTGTAATTGGAAGAAGTGCAGTTAAATAATTCTCATTAGTGATTAACTTTTTTAATTTAACGATGTTAAGTGATGTGTGATGATTGGTTCAGTGACACCACCAATGGTTGAGAAAAACATTTTAAGCGAACGATGATATCTCATTTAGTGTTGTTTGGTGTATGTCTTGCAGGATATGTTTCTCTAGGTAAGATTTCATATACATTTTTGTAACTGATTTTGTAAGAGTAGATTGGACTAGATTGATATAGATTCCATAAAGTTCCATCTGTTATGAAAAGTTTGAAATAGTTTGGTTGGAATTGCGACCAGGATGCGAGCAGGACCTAAACTTTTATTACGGACCGCGTTACCTATTCTCGTTCAATTTTCTGCATATATGACCCTCAATCAAGTCAACATTATTATTATTTTGATAACATCAATTGATATTATATACGCTCCAAACTTATTCATCTACATGACTTCTTATTTGTCAGAATGGCTGATGAAAAATTAGTTAGTCGGGTGAGACATTCCCATTTCGAAATTCCTTTTAGGTGAATGTATTTCCTGACTAAGAATAACATATTTTTAAAGACCTTCAAGAGGATGATCCACTCATAGTCGCCCTATCTCATTGCTTGTAGTACTGCTGTTATCTTTTACTCTCATTTATCCATAATAAATGAAAACTCGAACACTAACGAACTTTTTTCCTCGTATAATATGGGATTCTCCTGATATTATTCATTATCATTGACATTTTGCAGTAGATGTGGAGTCAGTCCAGTTCATATCGGCATATCAACCCAATTCTCATTTTATCAACACTCAACACATCAATGATCTTGCTCATAACCTACCCAAGTCGTCAACATACTATAGTTTCCTCAATTAATCGCAATTAGAATAATTGTTCCCCAGTAGGTCTTCAACAATTTCATGGTTTGATTGTCGAAAGCATCTATTGTGAACCATTTCATAATTGGCATTGTTGATATGATCGATAATGAATTGATTATTCCCTACACTCATTTGTGTTCTTATAAACAATTTCTTGATAGAGTTGATAGCTGATATACAAGGTGTATCTAAATAAGACCGAAAAAATGGAAGGGAAGTTTCCTTGTGACATTCTAACAAATAAAGTTCATATGAACATGTGCCCTAACTTGCTCCGTTTTTGAGATACAGGATGTTGAAGTTGACAGTATAAATTGTTTTTATTTATAACCCCCCTGTATAAGCTTTCATGGTGCCAAAATTCAGTATGGATGGACACTGAGAAAGCCCTGAAATTTCAAATGATTCTTATTGGGGTTATTGAGTAATCTCAATGAAAGTCTTGAAAACACCAACATTGAAATTTGGAGTCAAAGTCAATAGTTCAGTCTAATGAAAATATGAAACTCAGAAAAACCGGTGGTGTACAATGATATTCACCATGAATATCGATACATTTACCCACTGTGACGCCACTGGAAATATTATCTCGAATCTAATTGCACTAGAAGATGCTCCATATTACTATCAACAAAACCACACCGTTTTATTGAAATTGATGCAAAGACAATTGATAAATGAACCGAAAAAAGATTTTTCATGAAAATATTAATACCCTGTATCTCGGAAACGAAGCAAGTTAGAACACATGTTCAAATAAACTTTATTTCCCAAAATTTCACAAGGAATCACTCCTTGAGTTTTTTTGGTGTTATTTAGATACACCCTGTATATCACTATCATCAATAGCTAAGTGTCGTTAGGTGTTATACCAGTACGGCAAATAATATCTATCATCTTGTTGATTTCACATTAACTACTTGTATTTTTAGTTATAATTCGTCTATAATCTTACAAATTGTGATAATTAATATTGCAAAGGGTCTGCAAATTGATAGCCGTGGCCTCAGCCGAAACACTTATATTCACATCACGGATCTGTTCACACGTAAAATCTATCGGATATCCTGAATAGTTAATTTAACAACAGCAAATGACAACTTTGTCAACTCATTCTGCGTGCGGACCAGGGTTGCCAGTTCGATTTTTATTTCATAATTAAATACCTTGTCAAAAATTCATATACGAAGCCACAAACTGTGCGCATTTATATTTTGTAGTTTGCGGTCAGATACTTGGGAAGTGCTCGAAAAACTCATCATCCTTGAAACGGATTTGCGAGCGCATATACGTTGGTGGCTCAGCGCTCCCATCAATGGTGCATTGAAATTTGTTGCCGCTGTAGCACTTCTAATTCAATATTTCAATCGCCGGTAATAGTAATATTCTTTTTACCAACTTTGACTGAGAATAACCAAGATTCTCAGTGCAGCTCAATAGCTCAGTTGTATACATGTTTCATTTACCTTAGTCTGATGTGAGATGTCTTGAGAACTTATTGAGACTATTTCTTTCCCCTCACCCTAACTGAGCTTGCTATTCATCTGGTGATGTAGTGAGAAAAAGGTGAGACTGGATTAATTCTAGTAATTCTGTGGTTCTGTGCTGAAAATTGTGAGGTTATATTTTTATTTTTACATGCTTTCAGCTTTGAAGTTTCAGTCCACAGGCTGAATCCTTCGAATACTCACTACAATAATATTTCTATGCTGCTCATTAATTTCCTCAGCAATTTTTCATTTTGGTTGAATTATGTTGGGTTATGTTTTCTTCTCTTGCCCTTCCTGACAGATAAAACTCTGTTCTTTTTATTCAATCGGCAACTCAGATCCGTCTCACCTCCTTCTAACTCAATTGATCTCAGTAGTGAGAATGTAACAAGGTAAAAAGAATATTGCTATGTCACAGTTTAAGGAATCTCTTAAGTCTTGAGATTCTAGGTTCATCGCCATCTGTTAGTGGAACATTAAACCACTTTGAGAATTACAGGTGTTGCGATAGTCTACAGAATCTGACATGGATGTCTTTTCTGTAAGCATATAGATTGATGAATCTACCTATACACCTTTGCACTTAAGTCACTAGATGACTATGGAGGCTAGATCGTCCTTCTGCCCCCTCAGGGCTTCGAAAAAATTATATGTTTCACACGGCAGTAAATGTAGATTGACTGCCTTGGATGAACTGTCAGCCGCGGCAGTCAATCTACTACTTTCTTGCCTAGTAAAACAAATAACTATAATTACAATATCTGAATTTTTTATTACAACACATGATCACATTTTGTATCCCCCGCGTGGACAGAGGTGACTAGTATTGGCCAAGGAATGTGAGCATTGGGAGTGTTCGTCACAGAGGCGTATCTCCTAGGGCAGAGCCCTGTATATAGGTATTCTCACCGAGAGTACCGTCGAATGAGGTGGCTTCGGACGGTACCGGTGATTTCGGACAGTCGGTACTTTTCGCTCTCAATCGTGAATGTCGCGGAAGCAGGTATCGCGATAGACGTGAATCTTCTGCAGGTTGAATCTTGTTAGTATAGTCCCGGTGGTCGAGAGTGTAGTTTGCGTAGAGAGGTAAGGAAGAATTGTTCACGTCGGTATTTATATGAGCGTATTTTTATTGCGAATTCTCAAAAGTGAAAAAGTAACTGCTGTAGCACTTTTTGTGTTGAATGTAGAGCTCAGTGGCATATGTTCAATCAAAGGGTGATGTTCAAAGAATGCTTTGATGATGTATCTGTTTGAAAATTTCATAGAATTTTTTTATACAGGGCGATAACCAGAACATCAGCATTATTGCGGAAGACTTCGGACATGGGCCGGACCTATAGAAAAATCCTTGGCGGACGTTCGTACCAATCTTACCAATGAATCGTTAGAAGAGGACACTAACGAGAGAGTAGAAACTATTTCTACTAAGACTGATTTAGAAAATTTGAAGAGAAATGATTTCGCAATAATCAAAGTGCCTATATTCAATTCTAAGAAATATAAACTTTATGTTGCCCAAATTTTATCACAATTGGGAGATAATCACTTCCAAGTTAGCTTCTTGAGTTTAGAAGAGGAAAATACAAATTTTGTGATTTGAATGATATTGTCATAGGATAGCTTTATTCGTTTTTTTGTGATACATGAAGTAAGTTCCTACTTTGTTGATTATTTTTTAGGCAGAATGCTATTTTATTTTTGTAAGAATGTTACTATTTATTTTATTCTTAAAGAATCTTTTTCAAATAAAAAATATTTTTCTCATGTTGTGTCCGAATTATTTTTGTTGAGACGAGAAATAAATTTCCTATCGTCAACAATGCGCGTCCGAAGTCAATTTCCTAAGATAAAATAAATTCGGACAAAAAATTGAATTTTTGATGTTCCATTTTTTTCAAAATTCGAATTCATGTCCGAAGTTGATTCTGATGAAGCTGGATGTCGTTTTCATGCGCTTTTGAAGGGGTGTCCGAATTCACCACACCTATCCAGGTAACTTCGGACACTTTTCAAAATAAAAAAAAAATATTCCTAAAAATGAAAACAAAAGTTCTATACCACGAATCGATTCATTTATATGAGTGCTACATTTCGTGAAAATTTCGTGTCAAAACATTGATTTTTCAAAAATTTACAGCGAAAAAACTGTAAAAATCGTCCGAAGCCACCTCATTCGACGGTACCCAGAGAGTGGGGGACTTGATCTGTCGCTATTAGTAGTGGTGTTTCGTGGGGTTGGAGGAAAATAAGAGGGTAAAACAAAAACCTCCTTCTCTTTGGAGGAAGGAACACTACTCTTATGACCACCACGCTTCTGGCAAAACAAACTACAAAACAATTTGATACGCTCTCGACTTGCCACTGTGGCAATATTTCCCGTATAGTGGTGCTATGGCTAGGCTCTAATATTACCTTTACCAACGACATAAGTTGATATTCGATGCCAACGATAAAGAATATTAATCGAAAGAGATCGAGTCGTCAGTTACGAGAGAAATGGTATACCGAGACTAGAACTTGGCAAAGTTGTTAACACACATCTTGAACATAATTTAATGAAATAGCATTCAACTTATAATGAATTACTTACTAATTAAGTGACGGTATATCAGATTCAATGTATTGAAATTATCGCAACTAATAATTTTTCCACTATTGTTTATTGCCTCTCAGACAATTTCCAGAAAGTGTTTTCGAGAGCTACATATGTTGTTGAAACCCCAACGTGAAAATATTTTTCAATAAATTATATTTTGTTCCTTCAAATTGGCTCTGTATTTGCTGTTTTCAATAGTCCTTCCAGTTGTTT